AGTGCTATTTTGAATTTGTTGTTGTGGATTGATGCAAGCAGGACAAACTAAATAGGACACTTTAGATAAAGTACCAACTATTTTTGAACAACGTTTGTGACACCACTGGTTACACTGCTGACACTTGATTGAATTGTTACCTACACCAGCTTTACAAACTGAACAGGGCCATCGTCCAGTAGCTGGGGGTTGGATGGGTTCACCAGTGTTCATTGCTTTGGTTTTGCTGATGTTGACTTTGAATCCATGATCGGCGAGTCTGGTGTTCCAATCTTCAAACATCTGTGCTGCATTCTGCTCAGACGTGGCTGTTAAAACGATATCATCAGCATATACTAGATTCCAAATGTCACCAGTGCGTATCGGTTTTGTGATTTCTTCCATCACAGTTATAAATAAAAGTGAACTGAGAATCGAGCCTTGGTGAACTCCAATGCTTTTTCAAGGTCTACAAAAATATGTGATAGTTGTTGGTGCTATGCGAGGTACTTCTCTTGCAATTGCCGAAGGATGTGAATTGCATCAATTGTTGATTTCCCCGCTAGAAAACCAAATTGATAATTTCCGATTGTGATGCACGACGTTAATCTTCTCTCAATGATTTTTTCGACAATTTTCAGGGAGTGTTCTAACAGACGTATACCCCGATATGATGAACAGTTCAATGGATCACCTTTGCCTTTGTATAGCGGGACTGTCATGCTAAAGTTCCATTCAGTCGGCATTGAGCAATTTCTCCAGATTTCACGGCAAAGTTGTAGTAACGTTTGGATACCTGCAGTACCAGATGTTTTGATAATGTCATTTGTGAGTCCAGAGGGCCCTGCTGCCTTTCCATCCTTCATAGCTTTTAGAGCTTCTGTAAGCTCCTCTATAGTGATGTCTGGAATCGGACCTTCGATGGGTGGAGCGTCAAAGTTAACATTGATGGGATTTGTTTCGTTTAACAGATGGTTGAAGTATTCTCTCCTCTGTAGCTTGATCTCATCTTGTTCAAGAACCGTCTCATTTTTGTCGTTTTTGATACATGAGGCACCAACTATGTCTTTTTTCGTACGCTTTGCTTGTTTTGCTATACGATACAGAGATTTCATTTGTTCACCTTTGCTTTTAGTGAGCCAATAGTGAGGGTGATATCAGGATATGCTCCACAACAAAGTAGAAAGGAAGAGGAGAAGGATAGGTTTTATGATGATGTTTCTGACGAGATTGGGCAAGCGGGGTTGGATGAGTTTGTGGTGTTGTTGGGTGATTTGAATGGTCATGTGGGGGCGGATGCAGACGGATATGAAGGTGTACATGGGGGATGTGGATATGGTATACGGAATGAGGAAGGGCGTAGAGTGTTAGAGTTGGCGGATGCACATAGCATGGTGGTGGGGAATACCTGGTTTACAAGGGAACCCCCGCGATTGATTACATATAGGTCAGGGGAGCATAGTTCGATGATAGACTATATATTGGTAAGGGCCAAACATAGGAAGTATGTGAAGAATGTGAAGGCGATACCTGGTATGCTGCAGCATAGTATGGTTGTGATGGATGTGACATAAAAAGAAATGGGGAGGAGGAAGAAGGATAAGTTTGTGGCAAAGAGAAAGACATGGAAGTTGCAGGATGCAGAGGTGAGGAAGGCATTTAAAGTAAAGGTGGCTGAAAATTGGGAGAGTGGTAAGGATGGAGATGTTTGGGAGAGATACAGGGACTGTGTGTTGGCTACGGCAGATAAAGTATGGGGATGGACGAAAGGAAAGTGTATGCATGGTGAGACGTGGTGGTGGGATGAAGATATAAGAAGGGTTTTGGAGGTCAAGAAGGAGAGATTTAGGGTATGGAGAAGGGACATGATGGAGGAAGCGGAGTTTGAGTATAGGAAGGCTAAGAAGGTTGCAAAACAGGCAGTGGCAACTGCAATGACGAAAGCATCAGATAGGTTAATGAAGGAAATTGAATTTGATGTGAGTTCAAGGAAAATGTTCAAAGTAGCAAAGCAGTTAATGAGGGATAGGAAAGATGTTATAGGGAATGGATGTGTTTGGGATGGATCTGGCAAGTTGTGCATAGATGAGGAGGAAAAAGTTCAGGTGTGGAAAGCTCATATGGAAAGGTTGATGAATGAAGAGAATGAGTGGGATGGAGATGTGGAATCCGCGGTCACACGGACCTATAGAGAAGGTGACGATGGAGGAAGTAGAGAAAGCAGTTAGAGAAATGAAACTAGGTAAGGCGACAGGGGTTTCGGAAGTGGCGGCAGAACATATAAAAGCAAGTGGGGTGATAGGAATTGAAGTTATGATGAGAGTTGCTAACAGTATGTTTGATGATGAAGGTATACCTGAGGATTGGCGACACAGTGTGTTGGTGCCGTTGTATAAGGGCAAAGGAGATGTGAGAGATTGTGGGTCATATAGGGGTGTGAAATTGCTAGAGCACGGAATGAAGGTAGTGGAGAGGGTGCTTTAGAGGAGGTTGAGAAATATGGTGACAGTTAATGAAATGCAGTGTGGGTTTATGCCTGGTAGGGGAACGGTGGATGCGTTGTTCATGGTGAGAATGTTGCAGGAGAATTATAGAAAGAAGAAACGAAGATTGTATATGTGTTTTGTGGATCTAGAAAAGGCTTTTGATCGAGTACCGAGGAAGGTCATTGAATGGGCGTTGAGGAAAAAAGGAGTGAATGAGAGACTTGTTAAAGCTGTGATGCAGCTGTATGAAGGGGCAAAGACAAAGGTGAGGGTTGGAAGGGGGATGTCGGACGCTTTTAGTGTTAAGGTAGGAGTGCATCAAGGATCAGTGTTATCACCGTTTCTGTTTGCAATTGTGATGGATGTTGTGTGTGGAAACATAATGGAGGGGTTGTTATTTGAGATTTTGTATGCAGATGATTTAGTCTCGATGGCTGATAGCATGGAAGGATTGCAGTTAAAATTTGACAGATGGAAATGTGTTATTGAAAAGAAAGGGTTAAAAGTTAATATTGGTAAGACGAAGGTAATGGTGAGTGGGGAAGGTGGGGAGCGAGTGATAAGTAAAATAGACCCCTGTGGGGTATGTGACAGGAGAATGAAGACTAACTCGGTATTGTGTATAGGATGTCAGAAATGGGTGCATAAGAGATGTAGTGGTGTGAGGGGGGCACTGAAAAAGGTGGAAATGTGTTCATGGTGTGATTAATAGGACGGACGCAAGGACGGGGTTGAGTGGTGGTATTGAAAGAGTGGAATGCTTTGTTTACTTAGGGGATAAGCTGAACGCGGATGGAGGATGTTTGAGCGCAGTAACGGCTAGAGTTCGTGTAGGATGGATGAAATTTAGGGAACTGGGTGGGGTATTGTGTGGAAAGAAATGGTCAGTGAAGATGAAAGGGGGGGTATATAAAGCATGTGTGAGAGCAGCGATGGTATATGGTGGTGAAATTTGGGTGTTGAAGAGAGAGGAGGAAAGTGTACTGCAGAGGGCTGAAAGAGCTATGGTGAGGATGATGTGTGGGGTTAAAGTGAAGGATAGGAGGAGTAGTACAGAGCTGATGTCAATGATGGGACTGAATGAGGACATTGTGACATTGATAAGGAGATCGAGATTGCGGTGGTATGGACAAGGGATGAAAGGGTCGGGATTAGGCGAGCGTTGGAGTTCGAGGTTGAAGGAGTGGTAGGAAGGGGTCGTCCGCGATTGGGATGGAGAGAGCAGGTGGAGAAGGACAGGGTGAAAGCGGGGTTGCGTGATACTGAGGCGAGTGACATATGTGGATGGCGTCGAAGGGTATTTCGGTTTCATCATAGGTAGCCAGACGGCAACCCCCGATCTCGGGATAAATGTCGTCTAAACGTGTGTTGTTGTTTTAGTTAGCCACTCTCTGCACTGATCTGTCCGAGCCAGTGCAACTTGACGTCTTGCATAGTTGTTCTTCTCACGGAAAATTTTATGGTCATCAACAGATTTTGATTTTTGCCATTGCT